AGAGTGCTGCATTCACCATTTGAGAATCATTGATGTAGGGAATACCAAAGCAATTACAACAATTGGATTTTATTATATTTATTTATTTTTAAAAGAAAAAATACTTACCTCTTCATCTTCACCATCAACAAAAGTTTCATCTGGTTCTCTGGTATTTTCAATTGTCCTTGGTTCTTGTTTTGGAGGTGCCTTTAGAAGTTAAAAAACATTTATTTTTAAAAGTTAGAACTATTTTCAATAATAATAAATAATAATAATAATTCTTTCTCAGGTAAGCAGATTACAAAGTTCTGTGCATCCACACAAACACAACTGAGTAAATCATCTATTAGACATTGCATACATTTATTCCAATAACAATCAAATGTAGTTTGGCATAGACAAAAGCAAAACATTTCACATAGAAAAAGAAATTTTGAAGAATAATGATTATATACTGTACTTGAAAATGAAGACATCAGTGAATCTATGAATGATGGCAAAGTCTACAAATACTTAGGATTTTACACAAACAACATTAACAAAACATAATTAACACCATCCTAGATTGGCCATTTGTTATCTTAATTGCTTAGCCATCCAACCATCTTAAATCTATGATGGCTGGATGGCCAAGCAATTAAGATAAAACAACATGGGATCAAATCCTAATGGGTTGAAAAACCATAGTAATTTTTTGGGAGGTGGTCCATCCAGATATGCCAGGACCCATCCCTCACCACCCAGTTGCTTGGTAAATACTATAAACACACCACAAGTTTATTGTTGACTTCATTATCATCATTATTTTGAAGCCTTATTTTGAGATATGCCTTTATTTTTGCTAATAATGAAAAGCTCTCTGCTGATTTAATGAGATACACCTTTCAGAATTAAAACATAACTACAACTTAAAATAAAATTTGGCTCAAAGTAACTAAGTCAACTAATTGCTTTTAAAATAAAATGTTTTGTGTGCAATAAAAACAAAATGAAGAGAGACATTATTGTACTAAAGTGTTTAATAAACACAAAAATATGAGTAAATTAACATGAGGATAAATTTTTTAAGAAGAAAACACGAGGTACAAAAGTGAGTTAAAAAAATACTTTGGAAAAACAAAAGTTCAATTCAAAAATTTTGTTTAAACCCATTAATATATGTCAGAAACTGAAAGATGCTAAAAGGTAAAGTAAGCTACCTGCTTACTGGTATATCACTTAAAGTGCAATAATACAGTATAATATTTCTTGAATAAAGATGAAAACAAAAATAAAAATGAACAAAGGTTTTTTTTTTTGACAAGAGAAGAAACTAAATTGTAACAACATTTTCTCTTTTTTTTCCTTTTACTCTACCAAATGAGGCAAAGGTTTATAAAACTGGACGTGTTCAGACAAATTTATTATTGGTATTGGTCCAGAGCAAAGAGCAGATTCAGATTCAGATTCAGATATTTATTTTGTATATGTCACAAGACATATCCCAGTGCCGCTTGTGCATAACCGGGTGAATACAAGTATATAATATTAATTACATAATATATGAGTATAACCTTGATTACATAAAATATGAGTAAAATT